TTGTTTTGGCTTGATTGGTATTTTTTTTTTTTGATGTGTGTTGTTGGTAGTTAGATTTTTTGGCTAATAGATGAAGCTGAGTTATGTTGAATGGATCTTGATTGGTTTAATAGGATGCTAAATAGGCAATTGCTAAAGATTTGTTTGAAGAATTGAGAGACTAAAAACAATCTTAATCTAGATTTGTTCTCCTTTATGTTCAAGAAATTGGTTCAAGATTGTTTAGATTAAAAACAATCTTAATCTAAAGATCTGTTGAAGAATTGAGAGTAAAAGCAATCTTAATCTAGATTTTATTCTCCTTTATGTTCAAGAAATTGGTTGAATAGTGTTAAAGTTTGAATCTTTACATCTTGTAATGGTTTTTCTAGTATTGATTATTCTCAGACAGAGAAAATCACACTTTTAGCTTCATTAAGATCTGTGTTTCTGTTTAATAAAAAGAGGATTCTGTAATTGACTCTTACCAGTTTAGAGTGAGTGATAATCCATTCAATTGATGCGATGAATTACGCTGTTAGCTCCATTAAGATTTATGCTCCTGTTTAATAAAACATAGTATTCTTAATCAACTCCATTAAGATTGGTGTTTTTTCTGATACTACTACAATTATATTTCAGGCTTGCCCCCACGTTACAGGGACTCAGTTAGGCAAATAACACCTGGATTGCCTCTTTTTCTGTACAACTACTCGACCCATCAGCTTCACGGAGTATTTGAGGTTTGTAATTTTGTGCATCTCTATACTATATCTGCATTATACATTGTTGATAGAAATGGAGAATTTAGTAGGACTATCCCATTCTTTTTGTTTTGTTTTGTCGAGCTAATGCATAAACCACTGCAGGCTGCAAGCTTTGGTGGGTCAAATATTGATCCATCGGCCTGGGAGGACAAGAAGAACCCTGGTGAATCTCGCTTTCCTGCTCAGGTAAGGAAGTTATTCCACATATTATTTCTTTTGGATTCGAACTAAAAGATCTATATAGGCGATACCAATTAGTTGGGTGTATGTTATGATCATGTTAGTATTAGTTTTTGTTTGCATTTCATTTTGTACAATACTGGTTTGAGAGTGAGCTTAAGTGGAGCAACATGGTCGGTGAGGATTCATATTAGCCCATCCAACTTACTTAGGACTGAGACATAGTTGTCGTGTAGTATTTGGATCGTCATCAAAAGTTGATTAGTGTGACTAGCCTACCATCTTTGCTTTGATTTACCTGACTAAAGTTAATAGTGTGTACTTGGTTCAACTTGAAGATGTATTACAATCAATCTAAATCGGAACCCGTTGCAGACATAATGAACTAAATAGAAGCGTGCTCTGTCTAATTAAGCTGTTAGACGAGATGGTCACACATTTTGACAAAATGCTTAGAGTTGTTTTTTGTTGAATCTCGACTTATCTCTTCTTTGATTACAGGTTCGTGTCGTGACAAGGAAAGTCTGTGAACCACTTGAAGAGGATTCATTCAGGCCAATCCTTCACCACTACGATGGCCCTAAATTCCGCCTCGAGCTAAACGTTCCAGAGGTAATTACTATCTCCATCGATTGGTTTCATCGTCTAAACATGAAGCAAACGAAATCCTTCGCTTAACATGAGTGTATTTTCTTGCAGGCTATTTCTCTTCTCGACATTTTTGAAGAGAACAAGAACTAAATGAATGTTCTTGTATTACAAGCAGAGAATGGACAATATACCATTATAAAGGAAGAAACAAAAAGAGTTGATTAGAGAAAAAGAGTTTGCTTCTAGTAATACTGAAGAGAGTTTGCAGAGCAGAAAAAAAAAACTATCTATCTATTGTATATAGATATATACATAAATCCAGAATATAATGATCTGGAAAAACACTTTTTGTGTGGAGACAAATATTATTATATTACTATATTGTGTAATCCAGCAGGAATTTGCTGTATAATAATAAGTGAAATATGAGTAAAAAAAACAAGTTATATTTGGTTATTACTACCCTATTATTTCCTCTTTGCTATATCTAAAATGCATTTGGTGTATATTTTGTTTTTGATTTTTCACTTACCTGCATTGAGGCTCGACTGATTCGGTTCGTATAGGGCCTCAGTTGGCGATAGTGCTACTTATGAAGGATTTTTAAATACACAGGTCTTGAATTCGAGACTACTAGTTAAGTTAGATCGGTAAGATAGTCTAAAATGCCTTGGTTCTTTTGGTACAAGTAGAGAATTTGGATTTGGAATTATTTTGTAATTAGACTATTAAGAGGCAAGCAAAGAGTTTATTGTTAGCAAAATTTGAGAGATTTAGGGTGTGTTTGGTATGAAGAGAAATTGGAAAATATTCTTTTAGAAAAAATATTAAAGTTTCTTTACGTATTTTCTCGTATTTGGACTTAGATTCGTAAATAGATTATGTTAAAGATACTTGTATACGTATAATCTAAATAAAATAATATGAGTCGTGGGAATGCATTGTGATCCGTGGAAAGTTAGAGCTAGAATACGTTTTTGAGATATCGGTCATGATTAAAAGAAGTAGTAATACTTTTTTTCTAATTATTTTTAGATTAGATGATATGATTATGTGAAAAGCACAATTAGTTGAACTCAAAATTAGTAGTCACAAGATTGGTTGCAAGAAATTGTCAACATAGTAAGGATCTAATGGTCCAAAAAAGGTTACATGAAAATTTTATGTATTTGGTTGTGGAATAATTGAACAAAAAGTTTGATTATTTCAAATTTTATTATAAACTTGTTGAAATGTCACAACTCACAACCAAAAAAAGAAAAAATGGTTCAACTGTTCTTTCACGGCACTTCATTGGCAAAAATTGACCAAGTCTTTGGTGATATAAAATAATATATTTGTTTTATGTGTCAATTCCAAGTTAAAAAAACTTTAGTGGTAGTTGACCCTAGCATTTGATTTAAAAGTTTATTCCAAAGAAGTTCATACACTTAGAATCCTTATTAGGTAATTATTAATTTTTTCCTTATAATATGATAATTTAGTAAGATTTTTTTTTACTAATATATTACATTGTATTCATTAGTGCATAAAACTTGAATCCTTTGATTTAGACATTTTTCTAAGATTAAGTAGATTGGTTGGTCACCAAAACCAATTTAAAGATGGGCATGTGAAGTTGATGAGATTTTTGTGTGTACTTTTCTTTTTAATATTGTGTATTAAATTTGTATTTTTCTTCTATATAAATGAAAAAAAAACCTTATTCTTGTGTATTAATCTTATTAAAATCTATCAATATGCTCAATATAACTTTTACTAAAAGAGATTACAAATATAACAAGGAAAAGACATATGGAACCACAACAAACAACAACAATAATAACATATTCAACGTAATTTTATAACTGTGGAATAGAGAAAATGGTTTCAATAGATCCTCGACTCAAAAGAAAAGTTTCTGAAGTTGGATTGAAAGGAACAAATGGACCTAAAGTGCATATTTCAATAAATTAAAAGTTTTATATATTTAATTATACATCACAATAGCCAATTATATAATTTATCAATAATCTAAGGACAAAATGTATTATCAAACAAAAAAGAAAATGTTAATAGTATGTAATTGTTTTGTCGGTGATTAAAATTTTAATTTTCTTAAATCTTTAAATTATCCTTTGTTATAATTTGGAAATATTGTTCATCATGTGACAAACTTTACAAGTTTCTAGAATGTCCTATTTTTAAAATTATTTAATGCACTATAATATTCTTTTATTAATGAAAATGGACCAAGTTCATGTATTTGCCAACCATCACATGGTTGGTATATACTCTTATGTAATTCCTTAAAGATACCTTTTTAATAATCAAGAAATTTCAAAAATCATGGTTTGAGATTTAAAATTAGTCAATAATAAGCTCATTTTTATCTATTATTTTCTCTACTTAAATATTAGACTTCTGCTGATAAGTTCATGTTGAAAGAAGTCACAAAAACTATCTGAAGGTTCTCTTTTAACTTGAGTCGTGTGTCATGGACAATATACTATCCTTATATTTCATCTTATGTAGGTATATGTCTCAAGATTCAATAATTTTTTCTAACGTAAAGTCAAGTGAAAACTTAAAAAAATTACTTATTGCGCTCTTATCACTAAACTAAAGTCGTATAGACGAAGTTTACAAAAGAGCTTTTTAACACATTAGTTTTCAGCCCACAAGGCTGGGCCTAATACATGAGCTTGGCCCATTATCATTAATACACAATTGGAGACTACGTGGTAGCGGGAGGGTTCATTATATATGATATTTGAGTTTTTCAAAATTTAATATTTTTTGTTTAGATGGTGTATATGTATAAAGAAATTTATTAAATATTTATAAATATTTGATTAGAAATTCAATTTTTATGTTATATTAACTAAAGATCATTATAGAAATTTATAAACTTTAAATTCTAAATCCATTTTGGTGACAAGTTAAAACTCTATACTGCATTTTATGCTCAACATTAAAATTGTTTAGAGAAAATCTGAAGAATTGAACAAAATCCAATATCAACTCTGTTTTCCCCTAATATCAATCTATTTTTCTGTCACATGGAAATTAAGAACTTTACTAAAAAAAACTTGTATTTTATCCGTCATTAAGTAAAATATTACAGATCAAGAGGTAATTGGTTCGAACCCAATAAGGTCCTTTCCACTCCCTATTTATTTTCTTACCTTGTTGTATTGAGGTGCGAATTTGAGGAAGCGCAAGGGGTTCAACAAAACTTCCTTCGAAAAATTAAACTGTATACTATCCATAATACAAATCATTCAATTAAAAACTTCATATTTTCCATATTACTGAATTGCCAAACCATGAAAAAGTATACAAAATCCAATCACAAAAACTATATATATGCAAAAGTAGTTGCATACATGCATGTTGAGAATCTAGGAACCTAATACTAAGTTCGTAACGACTTCATAAAGTAACAACATCACTCTGTATTCACTGATTTAAAATCTTTTAAGTATTCGTACGATAATACATACAATTATTCAATTGCAAATAGGGCAATGAATCAAACCATTCTCATTACACTCAGGACATCTCTCCTTAACATCCCCATTCACAACTTTGCAACTTCCTCCACAATCAAAACATGGCACAAACCTAGCACCACCACACCCTTCACATCCTAACCTCCCCACACCCCTCTCCACCCTAGCCCAATTCAATATCCTCCCGAGTCGCTTCGTCTCGTTCAGGTGCACCACTTCCTCCACTCCGCCAATGTACCTCCCTTTCACAAACAACCTCGGTACTCCCGCATTCTCCCCATCTCCAAGCAACTCCTTCAGCTCTTGACGAAACTCGCCATGCAACGCCACGTCACGCTCGTCAAAAACCACCCTATGAGATTCCAAAATTAACCTCACTTTATTACAATCCTCAAATGTGCGACGCACGCCACCTAGCGACGTCGTGTAGACGACCAATGAGTCATCGCCATGTGGTGGGCACTTTTCGAGGTAGTCACTTAAAGGGTTAAACTTTATAAAAGTTGGAACATTCCCTTCTTTTTCCCTTTCCATTTTGTCCCTCAACAAAAATATATTCTCTTTTACTGGCTTGTACCCTTCATCAGAGTGAGTCCTTTGATGTGCTACTTCCCCATTATGAACAACAATTTGAGTATCATTTTTTTTGTTGAATTTTTGGAAATTTTTATTTTCCTCTTTTTTCTTGAATTCATTGTTTTTTTTGGAATCCTTTGATGATAATTTGGATTCAAGTTCTTCAAGGGTATGAAAGGAAAAACTCTTTCTTGGAATTTTTCTTTTTGGTGAACCGCCGCCATCTTCCGCCGCCTCGAGTGGCGGTGGAGGCGGCGCCGGTAGGGCAAGGAGGGTTTTCTTAGGTGATTTTTGTGGTGGTGGATTTTGTAGAGTGGGTTTTAAATCTTCTAAGGCTTTGCTAACTTCATCCCAAGATTTAGGAGAATCATCAATAGAAGAGTTGAGTTTTTCAAGAATTGGTTGTACTACTTTTATTGGCTTCTCATCTTCGTCTAGCTCGTCTTGATCCAACTCATCTTCTTCCACCTATTTTTAATATTAATATATCATGTCAAGTCATCGATAAAATAAATTAAATATAGAAGTATACATGAAATTATTAATAATCTTTCAAATAAGGGCGGAGTTAGAGGGGAGAAATTAACTTCTCCGTCAAATTAAAAAACATCATACTATAGTCTATATACACATAAAATCAATGTTCTTTTTTAAAATTCTAGCTCCACTAACGTCTGATTTGGGACAACAATTGTATTTATAAATGCTTTAACATAGTAATATTTTTTTTGGAAATGAAACAGATGTCAAATATTTAGGGAATATTCAATAAAATGCAAATTAACTAGGATATCTATACATAAAAGTTATAGTATATTGTATGAGACGTTTTAAGCTTAATATAGGCAAAACCTTTACAATAACAAATACTCCTTACGTTTCAAATTATCTGTTGTATTTCTTATTTTCACGTCTTTAAAAAATATTAATTATGAGAGATTTTTGAACCTTGTGCCTTTGTTTATGTCTTCAGATATAATCTCTCTTCCATTAAATATTTATTCTTCTGAATTGTTTATAGTCTTCGAGAACAATTACTACTAAGGATAAAGCGAGAAACTAATTATGTGTTGAGATAATTATTTCTTAGAAATCATGACATGTAATGTTCAATTCTTATTAGTTTATCATTCCTATTCTTTTGTGTGTGAGAAAGTTGATAAGTTGTAAACTAAGAATACCTTGTTGTTGTTGGCACCTTTGAGCCATGGCTCTTCAATGGAGTTGATATCGAACACGGCGAAGCTCGTCGGCGGAGGACGGTAGACGTCGACGGCAACCTCTATTCTCTTGGAGGAGGCACAACCCATACTTGACAAAGTTTACTTTGAATTTCAATGAAATATGTTTTTTTTTTAAGTTTTTCTAAGTTTGTGAGTTATGCTATGGAACTAACTAGGAGGAGTACATATGGATATAGTTTGGCCTTAAAAATGATATATGTGGTGTTTGGTATTGCCAATTGGTATTTAGACAACCAATTGAGAATTTAGACAAGATTTTGGATGAATGGATCTTGATACGACACGTGGCATATATTATTTTATATTCTTCATCCATTATCCTTAACCATGAGAAAATAAAATGAATTGAAAAGTAATATAACTCCAATTGTGGATGGAACTTAGGGTGTGTAGTATAAAGAAAAATGTTTTTCATTTAAAAAAAAAAACAACAAGTTTCTTGAAACTTTATAATGAGAATAAGAAAATAGTTTCATAAGTGGCTTTCTCAGCCCTCAGGCCTCAGCTGATTATCTCTTTCTTTTGCTTTTGGTTACTCATCCCTATAGCGTTTGCTTAAATTATATAAATTACTCTAAAAATAATATTTTATTTCTTCTTATTTATAAATATCAGAAAACAAACAAATAACTCATTTTTTTCAAGTAAATATTTCTCTCTTACCAAAACACTTGCCAACATCTAAGATAGATATTAACAGAGCTTAAGCGAGTTTCATTTCTACTGTTAAATTATTATATATTCAACAAATTTTTTATTATAAATATAAAATCTATACAACTGAGTTTTCGAAAACCCGCTCCCACCACCCTAGATTTGCCCTTGGTAGATAGAGTAGGCATTGAAATGGTGCTAAATTTGGGATGTGGTAGCAAGGGACACAAGAGGGCCATCCTGTTATAATGGTACTTGGACTTTATGTGCTTAAAAATTTGGAATATAGCACCTACCCACAAATATACTACTCTATTTTAGACCACATAAACAAAATGTCAAAATTATCATATGGCCTACTTTATTTTCTTCAATTAATATCAACCAGAAACATTATTTGTCCATACGATTAATGGTTGGAAATGTGTAATAATAGTCTCGTATTTTATCTACTATAAGAACAAGGTAACCAACGCTTAACCATAGGAGTTAAATAAATCGATTATAATACAAAACTATCCAAAAATTATATATAATCGATTCTTCATCCTTTTATTAACTCTTTTGGTCATTAATTAAGAACTAATTTGACTATTAAGTAAAGGCTAGTAATAGTTAGTTTAGCCTTTGACCACATAGCTATAGACTAGTTAGATGAAGTAAAATATAGAGCATGAAATAATAAAGGGATAAAATTCATGAATAGCCATTTTTCGACCTTGAAAAAATAACTATTATCACGAAGTTTCAAACTCTACCAATGAAATACACAAAAACAATTACTAGCTCCAATTAAGTATCAAATTTCATATGCGAATTCTACAATTGCCATAATATTTCACCGGTGGAATTTGAAACGCCATGACAATGACTACTTTTCGGAGCCAGGGCCAAAAAACGCTATTTCTACTACATGTAAAATCATAGAAGGTTCTCTTTGGTGTTTCCAAAAACCAGCTGCCTCAAATTAGAGAACATTTGTACCCAAGAGAACAGGCATAATAATGCATGTAACCAAAGTTAGCCAATTTACCCAAAAGAACATGTCTCCTAGTATTTAAGTACTTCAAATATTACTACTGCATGTAACCAAAATTAAAAACTAAACTAAGACTTCGACTCCAATTTCTTTATGGCTTGTTCAACTCCAGGAATATTCTTCTTGAAAGTTGCCCATTGCTCAGCTGTCAAACTTATCCCTGCAGGGGACACAAAATAAGTATCAGCAGAGGTGGTCCTATGGTTTCTTTTACCCTTTGCAATTTCATCTTTGGATGAATTCAGGGGGGGGGGGGGGGAAAGGATTACGAGGTGGGGAACCAAACTCTCACCAACAAGGTGAAAATTCCGATAGTGGAACTCAGAGAATACAACATCTTATAGAACAGCATAAAGTACCATATTTTCCAGTATTTGGCCTTGTGATGGACCCAACACTTCTTAGTTTTTCTCAAACTTCAAGCACTTCATCAAAAAGAGGAAAAAAGAGAAGGGGAATCAAGCACCTACTTCTATCAAAAATTCCCTTTTTGGCATCCCCAACAAATCATCAGTACCACCATCATCCGTTTCTTTTGCTTCTAAACTTTTTTTTTTTTATGACAAGGGAAACCCACAGCCGCTACCCTTTGGGTGCTCACAGGGTAAAAGCCCCACTCCTATGCAATATCTCGCAAACCACATAGGAGAAGTAACCCGCACTAGGCAAGCCCGGTGTGATGAGCTCGACCCAGAAGGCAAACCCCTTGCTTTCGCTGGCAAGGGGTTTCGAACTTGAGACCTCCAACATGGAAGTCCCAAGCCTAAACCACTGGGCCACCCCAAAGGGTCTTTTGCTTCTAAACTTGGATCATTCATTGGCTAAGTTTAACACCTTTTGTAATAAAAAAAGAAGAGGAGAAAAGCAGAGAAGAACGCAAACCAGCTGTTGTAGTTGTACATTCAACAAAAGATCAGAAAGAAAAATATCTAGGTGGTCCAATAAATGGCCCATAAATTCCTTGCAGATAACCAGTCTAAACTCTTCCCCCAAAAGACTTTTTCTTTTTGGTTGTTGTGACTTGTGTGTGGTCAGAAATACTTATTGGATGCTTTAAACAAATGCTAGTCTCAAAATTAATAACTGAGGTTTTCTACTAAGCAAATGGAGTCTAGAAAAAATGCTGAAGAAATCTCAAGATCTTTCATTTTTCACTTCCGAAAATTGTATCTTCTGATTAAGCTAGTTTCCAACATGATATAATTAGCTATGTTGGTGGGACCACTGTTAATTCCAGATGATGGAGTTGAATAACATATGGATAGAGGAACATAGAGGTGGCAAAAAACCCCATTGCAGACAGTGGTGGACATGTTGTTAAGATGGACAAAGATAGAGATAAAATGACAGATAATATCGAGAAAACGAAAACAAACTAAAATCAAATACTAACAAGGTTCCTTTTGAATCAGCTAAAACCACTAGACAATACTAGAAAGTAGCCATTTATTTAAATAAACAACTAAAAGAGCAGAATGTAGATAGCTTTCGAGACACCATACAATACTCCCTGAAGTGGCTTAAAAAAAATAAGGCCAGAAGCACTCGCTCCAGGACTTATCTTATTTTTTATATAAACTGCCACAAAATGGGGAAGAAGTGCTCAAGGTAAAAACCTTTAAATTCTTCTTTATTGACCACTAAGTGATAGGGCCAGAAAGTGCTTATAATCAGCGAAATTCTGTTCTTGTTTTTATTGTCTCGACTTTATCAAGTGACAGCAGTAGAGGAAGCCAATAAACTCATGTTTAGGTAACACGGGATTCCTTTTTTTTTTTGGGGATAGTTGAGCACTAATATGAAAACTGTTTGCAAGTGGATTCATTCGCCACATTCGACCACAAAGGGCATAAAAGCACACATATATCATGGTCGTGGTACAACAAACTAATAATACCTCTAAAAGATAAAACTTTGGGCAAAGAGAATATAAACAAGAAGCCAGCAAGTGATGAAATTCTTCAGTGAAGTTCTTTCTACCCCATATAACATAGGAAATGCAATTCAGAGCAGCATTAAAATGGCTAGCAAATAGCTGAACATTTTAAGATCAAGCAATACGAATGTACTTTTTCTCCTTGTAGTGATCCAAACCACAAGCATGGTGCGATTTGACTTCTCAATGCATAAAGAATTTGCTTTACATCTATGATTTAAAGTTTTTCAACAGACTTCATTTCTAACTATAGCAATCAGCCAATCACTTAAGCTTATTTCAAATGAGAAAACACAAACTTTTGTATGCAAATTCATAATAAAAAATCTAACAAAATGATTATTACCTTTAGAAGTAGGCAACTCCTTGCCCTCTTTGCTGTAGTACTCTCTTATCGACACCAGAGTTTTTCCCCTAAAGTCAGTAACAGTCACTCTTCTCTTATGCGACAACTACATTGAATTCCCAAAAAAAACATCAAGAATATATTTTGTATCAACCCAAAAAGGAACATCGAGATACATCAGCTTAGCAGCAATAAAGCAACAGAAAACAACAAACATTTCACATCACATTATGATAAGCCCTAATAAGTACTCTGAATGACTGAGTTCCAAATACTAGGATTAATGCATCAGTTCCATCATGTCAGCCAATATAGATTTTCAAGTTCTTAAACTAGAGCTTCTTATATTTATCTTTCCTCTATTGACTATTAATCAATCATTTTTGTTTTTGTAAGAACAGAAATCCCCTCCCTCATCTTGCAAGTACAAGTAAGCAAAAACTCAGAAAGTTGATCACTTTCTCATCTTGCAGGGACTCTTAAGTGCTTAAAATTTAAAATTTTCATAAATCATAATCCAAATAGAAAATTGTTTTAAAAAATAAATCTTTCTTTAACATTTAATTTCTCAAGTGTTTAAAAAATGACAATCGGAACCAAGTACAAGGGCCTCCTGGATCATTCCGCCAAACAGATAATAACCAAAACTACAAGAGTAAAGAGCATTTCAGAAAGCAGAATTACAGCAGTTATGAGAACTCACTCGGCAAACGATGAGATCGCCTTCGTCATCGTACTCCTTATCACCGCTGCTTTTCACTTTGCCGTCCTCCTCTTCTTCATCATCCTCCTCCTCCTCCTCCTTTACTTCATCAGCAGCATTTGCCTCACGTTTTGCTTGTTCTTCAGCAAGGAACTTCTCCACCACCTGCCGGACAAATTTCTTCCGGGTCGGTTCGGATAGGTCAAGACCTAGCTTTTCTGAAGCCATTCTTCGGATTTTTTGCTCCGAAACTTCTTCCAGGTTACAGGTTTTGAGGATATCGAGTACTGTTTCTTCGATTCTGATGGAAGTTTCAGAATCCATTTCGAAGAATGTTGTGGAATTTCAAAAGGTTTTTGCAGGGGCGGAATTTAGCTCAATTGGGAAAGTAGATGAAAAGACTCACTCTACTTAGGTTTTTGTGATTTTGCAGGGGTGGATTTATAGTAACATTTACATTTATTACATGCTTTTCATCTGTTCATTTTCACTTGTGTATTATTAATTTGTTCGCACACTCTCAAAAGAAAAATAAATTAAATGATAATTTTGAATGTATCAAAATAATTAATATTATTGGCCAAAATAATCAAATCATAAATAACACTAGCGTAAGCATGAGACTTTCGGATGGTATCAATGAATCAAATGGCAGCAACGACAGAATCTAAGACGGAGGACTTGTAATTCTCTAGATCTACCAAAATAGGAGAAAAGAAAAATTACTACGAGAGAAAGAAGGTGATGGACTAATCGTCATATTCGACCTTGGAAAAAAGGTCTCATCAATGATTGAAAAATGACTATAGTTAATAATAAAAATGAATTAGAAACAGAGGCGGAGCTAGGAGTGGGTTCGTGGGTTCGTGGGTTCGGACAAACCCAATAGCTTTTTCGTAGACCTTGTATTTTTACTAAACAATTTAAAACTATTTATGTATATTAACTTGTGAACACGGTTCAGTGGTAAAGAAATGAATGTGAAACGCTAGAGTTGTGGGTTCGAACCCCCTCTTAATCCGAAATTTTGTTAACTCCATACCGAAATTTTCACTCTATATCATTTTTAAAAATTTAAAAATTAATACCGCCTTTCAGGCAAAAACCAGGCATACATAAGTTTTCCCCCAAAAATTTAATAGATAGATCCAAGTGTACTCATGTTGCAAAGTGTAAACTAACAATAACATACCTAGTGTAGTCCCCGAGTGGAATCTGGACTAGTTGCAAACTAATTAGTATAGTTGAAATTAAAACAATATAGTTTATCTTGATTAGAGTTGCTAACACGAATAGCATTTGGGGCTTATATAAATACACACAATTCAAGTTTTCATCACAAAAAAGCCTATAGAGAGCCAAGGAAACTGCCAAGTTAGTAGCTTAAACTCCGTGCTCAGCCAAACTACCTCTGATCTCTTGAAATTAACTTCCAACAGTTAGCTCTTCGATCTCTTCGTTCCGTTCTTTTTCGTGCTGCAAAGTTTGATATAAGATGAAAAGCATAAGTTACGAGTTACTAGCTTTGCAGAAGTTCTTTCAAGTACTTGAGAGCTCATAACATGGTCGGTGAGGATTGATATAGCTGAGATCGAGGCGTAGTAATAGCAGTAGTTGTTTTCATTTTACTGTGAATGTTCCACCAATTATTGGTTGGTAAGGAGTAACATAGGAAAACAATGAAGGCAATATAGTGCATCAAATAGTCAGTCAAGATCAGGGAGACAAAATGTACTAGAGCAACTAAGTCTCTATAAAATGGACTGGGATGAACTTGAATGGAACGACATGGACATAGACGCTAACTTGCTTGGGATTGAGTAGTAGTTTTTGACGTTTTTATGTCATTTAGGCTACGTTTAGACAATCAGTAGAATGGAGTAGCAGAGTGTATGATCCAAAAATTGTTTTGCGGCTGCTTGTGTGAGATTCGGTGATGGTTCAGATCTTCTGGTATGATATGCCAGATTACAACAATAACAACATACCTAGTGAAATCCCATGGGTGGGTCTATAGAGGGTAGAGTGTATGCATAACCTTACCCCTACCTCGTGAAGGTAGAGAGGCTATTTCAGAAAGATCCTCGGCTAGAGTAACGACTATTTCCATTTTATCATTCCGCTATCCATCAGCAAGTATCTTGTACTAATAATTTCAAGTTAAGCTACTCATTATATCAGCAGACAGTCGACAATTGCTAAGCACAAAGAGATGAAAAGAGCGGAAATAGACTAATTAGATCTATACCTTGATTGAACCTCAGCATCAGTTCCGGCAGAACTAACTCTACCGCCTTTCCCAGAGACAACTTCATCCATGCTTTGTCCAAACCTTTTGTACCTACCACCAGAAGCAACAAAAGCAGGGCAAGGCCTGTAAGCCTTTATCGGCCACCAACCAAAACCTGGAACTGTTGCAATCCCTCCTTGTATACGTCCTTCGCCATTACAACCACTTTCAATTTCCACTCTCCCACAACCGTTACATGCTCTGTAAACACATCAAATTCAATTCATTAACATTGCAGAATATGTTCGTTTACATCAGCAACCACTTGAATGAAATAGCGTAAAACAAAATCATAGTCAAGATATCTATAGACAGACTACAGTTTCCCAAATTCAGCCCTCTGTAACTATTAAACTTGCCGTGGAAAATTCACATTCTAATGTAGCAGAAACACATTCTACGGTTTGAAAGGAAGTACGATCTCTCAAGACTGAAACATCTAATCCAAACATATTTTTTTGATGACAAACAATACCCGCAGCCGCTGCCCTTTGGGTGCACACAGGTAAAACCCCGCTTCTATACAATAGCTCAAGGAAGTACGATCTCTCAAGACTGAAACATCTAATCCAAACATATTTTTTTGATGACAAACGATACCCGCACCCGCTGCCCTTTGGGTGCACACAGGTAAAACCCCACTTCTATACAATAGCTCACAAACCCCACAAGAGAGGTAACCAATTTGTCTAACTTTAGCGAGTCTCATTAACTGTTCGTTCAATATTAAGCTTTTGGACCAAATAGTAGCACAAGTGAACTTGATAATTGAGAGAGAGGTCTGTTCTAAAGACGAAAATTAAACACCAAATTTTGAACAGTATGTCACTGGTCCTCTGTAATTTATCGATTATCAAAAAGTTAGAGAGATAAAGGTCTGTTCTAAGACAAATATTAATAAATAAAAAGTATCACATCTCTAACAAGAATCACACATTTCTAACACTTTGTTAACATTCCAGATGCAAAGCAGAAAAATTGAGCATACCCGGGAGGTAAAACTGAACTAGATTCTTCATTTATCGAAGCTGGAAGAACATCGTCACTAGACCCATTTTCTTTTTCTTCTTCAACAAGTGGAGTTGAAGAAGTTGATGAAGAACAGAGAAAGGGCAATGTAGACCACTTTTTGTTAGTGAAAAGGAGTTGTTTGTGAGATAAAATTTGCAACTTTTGGGATGGTGATGTTGGGACTGAGAGAAAGACGGAGCTGCTACCGCCGGTGGCCATGGTGGTGGCGGTGATCATCTTCTCAGCCACTCTGCTCCGCTGTGCTCAGTCCCCGGAACCTTATGGTTGGTGATAATGTTTGTTATTGGACATCATTTTGACACCAAGGAGAAGGCAAAACAAAAATGATAATTTATTTTTTTTTTGAAAAAAGGAAATAATATTAGAATTTTAAAAAAATAATAGACCTATGGATTTTTTATTTTTTTTTATTTTCAGTAAAAAACTATATTACATTAGTTCAAAAAGATAACATTTGTACCACGTTCTTTGCTACTACGCAAGCAAAGTATGGTTAAATTTTGTATTTAGGTAAAGATTGAAGATAACATGTAGTTTTTGTTTTGTTACTCCTTTGGGGTCGTTAACCCCTCTCCCACCACCGGAAAAATACTTCGAAGATGAACCTGTTCTGATGCAATAGTCAAGAACTCTTGACGGTAGGATTACGCGTTGCTTTTGATGCAAGACAGACCAAAAGAAGGAATTCCATCTCCATCTCCATCTCCATGAAAACATTTTCACTTTGTCAAACTGTGCATGTGTATTGCCAAGAAAGTTGGCAAAGCCAAAAATTCATGGCAAGAAACCGGTGATATCTAACCATCAACGATGGAAAAAGTAAGAAAAAAAGGAAGCAGGAACTACATAAAATAATTTTATGGAGATTCCCGGGGAAGTCAATTCTACTATAAACGATCGCTATACCACTTTCCAATTTCAAAAGAATAATCAATCTTCTTCACAGTTTGCCTTCTTTAATCCTATCCCTGCACAGCTTGTTGCCCAGCACCTCCATGAATGAGCATCACTGAGCAGTGATGATGGACCATGTACCATCTCCCATTATGGAGTTCAAACACGTTCGTCACGTTACCTGATCCCATATTAAGATAAGCTTTCATAGTCACCCAAGCCGAATCTGTCATTACTCTTGCCTTCACGTCTCTAATTTCAAAATCAACATTCTGCTCCCAGTTAAAAGCCAGTTGCCAGCTGCCAATGACTGCATTGTGACTGCATTGGCAGATACGTTTTAGAATCAACTCAACATGTGCTGAACGATATAAAGACGTAGAAATGAAATATGTCACACTAAAACATACTAGTCAGTAATTGCATTATAACTGCATTGGCAAATAAATTCTAGAACCAACTAAAAAGACATGTTGGACGATATAAGGACATGGAAAGTATACATGTCACACAAAAACATTCAATCACTCTAGTGAACTTGCATTAGGGAGAGCTGCCAATACTTAAAGACTTTGCAATTGCTATGATGACGGTAGCATATTAGTAGAACAAACCAATATCAAATATGGAGGTATGGGACTTAGAACAAGCTTATTAGAGGAAAAAGAGAACCAGAAAGGCATCAGGCAAATATATTTTCTAATACCCTCCCTTGTGTCTAATCCAATTGTAGGGTTAGATGTGTGCTTGGACAGTTCTTTTTCACCTTTTCTTCTTATTCTTTTTAGGAAATTGAAGTAGCTTGACAAGATGAAGAATGGGCTTCAAAAGTAGGCTAACTAATGGGTGGAAGAGTGTGCTTGGGAATGAACGAGAAGGCTCAACACGCAAAGACTGGTTAAAACAAAGTTAATGGTACAAGGACTAAATTGTGGGAAAGAAGCCCAAATACAAGTAAAGAAAAATTGTGGTATCAGGCTCACTAAGTTTGACTCAAATTACCATGTGCAAGAATCCAAGCATCTATCCAAGACCTTAATGATATGAATAGAGTAACCCAAAGACCTTAATGATATAAAACATTTGGAAACCCTCACACCAACAACATAGATAGAAGCTACACACAACAAATATGAAAACAGAATATTACAATAAATTTGAACCTAATTGCAGCGCATTTATACTCTAGGAGGAGGGGTCTGTTCTATTCTCTTTCAAATATATAAAAGTAGATTTTTCGATAAGATATGTAAAAGTAGATTTCCAGCCAAGCTAAACCAGCAAGAACTCAACCTTTTTGCAAATAAAAAAGAAAACGACCATACAAAAACCTCCTAAAAGTGGACAACAAAAGACATACAATGCCCAGAGAACCAAAGTCAAGAGACTTGGTTGTTCCAGGGGGGAGCATCACAAGTTTGTCATATGAAAATATTATAGAAATTTTAATCACAAAAAAAAAAAAAAAAAAAAGAGAGGTTGAGAGGGAGAACAAGACGACAGACATGCAAGGTGCAAAGATATAGAAGTAGAAAAGCTCAAAAGATGACCCCCCATGGAGGATGGAAAAACGCATACCCCGTAAAGTACTCTCCAGAGGCATGAAAACACTTCACGTAATCTGCATTGAGCCAAAAACGTTCCATAGCTGGAACTGATCTCTCTCTAATAATATTAAAAAAATCAGTATTGACATTCATAATGGCTCTTGTAGCTGCATAGTAAGCCTTCCATCCATTAATTGGAGACAGAGAATCCTGCTCCAATGTGAAATCCTAAGAGATGAGGAGAAAACAAAAGGCAATCACTACACTAACATTTCCAGTCATGTATTGGTTAAACAATAAATTTGCAACATCCAAAATGCATGTAGAATAAAAAAGTATATGGTCCATAAAGAAAAGTAAGAGGGATTGTTGCACTTTTTATTTTTCCTATAGATGGAAAAGTATTGGGGCTCACTCTCAGAATCGTTGATCTAAAATAACAGATCATTAGCTGATAGACATACTTGTCTGATACAGAAAGGGCATTCTACAAGGTATGTCATTCTCTACAAATCTTGTTTCTCAGTTACTTTTATGTGGTAAACGCTTTTCAGCTTCTGTTTCTTTCCTCCCAGTTTCCAAGCAAATCAAAATCAATTAAAAAATGATGTAGCTAACAGAAGTAAAACAATTCTCATATTTCTTTTCAATTGTGGTGTTGTTGTTCTTCTTGACTAGCACACACCTTGACTAATCTTGCCAAGGTATCCCACAAGCTAAGCCTGCTCACCGAAGCTGGAGCAGATAGGCCCCATGGGACTCTGACTTAGAATTTCCAAGTTGATACTCTCATGTCCACACCACTACACCACCCCCGAGGAGAATTTCCGTCTTAATCTATGTGGCCAAATATCTCTATAAATGTGTGCATATTCTAGTATCACAAGGCCATATGGCTCAATTAATGTCCAAAATGAGGAAGTAGAAACACTTAAGAATTAATGTTCACTTTCATCAAAGGGAAAGCTCTACAACATCCTTATCAAAAAGGTTGAGCTCTATCACATATTTTATACATGTGTAACACAAAGAAACACTGGAGTTTACTGTCCTTGTATACCCTTCACTTGCAGTTAACATTGAGTATTGAATGTTGAGCTCTTTGTATACTTATTGAATATGCTTCCCTTATATTGATTGTCAATGTGCAGTGTCCACTTGTTAAGCATTCTTTGGAGCGACTCTACTGTACTTCGTATATACCACGGAATCTCCCCAACCAACTCATGTGATTGGTTACCATGAAATTCCCCTCTTTGGAGTTTGGTGCATCTGATTTTTTAAAAATTTCTACATTGTAGGTATACCATATAAAAGAGGAGTGTTCAATTTGGGGTAGATGGTATACCAGAGGGTACGCACCTCGAATTCTAAGCATACAAAATGCTCGTAGGAAGAACTGAGTCAACTGACTAATATGTGATGCATGAAATAAGCGTTACATCCTTAATTTGGCATAACTATTTAGCAATTCTAACACTTGGAGTGCTGACACAGAAACTTCAGAGTAATAACTTTAAGCAGTTTTTAACTTCAAAATTCCATATTGTTGGGAAGGAGAAAGTAAAACACTTCGCCCATAATAGAAGACAATGATGGGTGAATCATAGCTTCAGTGTTCTTGAGACAACAAGAAGGACTAAACAGATGATACCTGTTGATCCTGTACTAAGCTACTTTTTTCATTTAAAATAATAATAATAATAGGTGCACTAATCTCAAAAATCTTTTGATGCATCCTATGAGAATAAAAAGAACTAAAGGAAAGAGTACCATAAAAGCTGATTATTCATCTATAAGTAAAAGGAAACATTTCCAATATTGGAAATTAGAAGGAAACAGGATGATAGAGCTTCCTAAATGTCTAAAACTTAATGCCCTTCCTCCTAGGAGAAGTTTAAACCCAATCCTCACAACCACATTCCCATATACCCTTAAATGTGCACGCAAATACATGAAAGCACCTGAAGGAAGACAGCTAAGAGACTATTTGACAACAGCTTTCAGATAACCTAATGAGCACCTATCTAAGATAGTATATCTCACTCATCATTTTACAAAAGCATCAATTAGAGTGTAGATTTTCCTAATCCCAGATAACAACACGAAATGAGACAGAAATATAAGAATATTTTTTCTCAAACCATCCCCACAAATTATTTCTTAGAATGTGCACGATACTACTCTCTTTGGCTTGGATGAAGACGGCTAAAAACTTACTATCTACATAGTCATAGAGTCAAAGAAACGTCAAAATCATCAGTTTAAACTCAGTTCAGTGAAGATTTTTCAATTAAAGTAGCGGAATTTAAATTCTTCCCAAATAGTCCATTTATAGTGGATTTTTAAAAATTAAAGTAGCTGAATTTTAACTCTCTTGCTCTTAAAGATTGAAAATGGCATCCCATGATCAAAACGAAAACCCAGCTTGGATGTATGTACAAAAAGTTAGCGATATATAATGCTTTTTTTGGTAACAAGATCTCAAAAGGGGTGATTTATCGTCATAAACATCGTCTCGTGGTGTTAATCCAAACATTACCTCTTGTCCAAGTTTCCCAGCTCATGTGAAAGAAGAATTGCAAAAGTTTATAGACAGAAAATTGAGTTGAAGACTCAAATGCAATAGGATGTTGATCTGCTAATGTTTTAGTGTTGATTTTGCTTGTACTATGGAGGATTTTGTGAAATGTACTTTTTAGTTTTAAAATTAAACATTTGCTTATACAAATTGTCTCTGTCAAGGTTTATTTTTGTCTTTTTCTAAAAATTGTGCTTCACGCGCTTCTTGTCACCTTTTATTTTTTTTGATGAAGTGGTTGTATTTAAACTTTAAAAGCATCAAGAAGTTATAAAGTACACACGCTTCT